TCGCCCTCTCCCATAGGTGAATTAACCTGCAATGGGACCGTAATGTTATAACACAAAGCAGCGAATGGAAGTCAGCCTATTAAATATCAAAGGGAGCTGGAGGAGCTGGATGGGGATGTGCCCTCGTTAAGCGGGAGCCATTATCCAGGGAAAGAGGGATGGGGCCCTCGGGCAACAAAATCCGTGTTTGAAGTCCCCCAAGCTCACTGCTTTCAGAGCATTAAAATGGTTTCTATTTTGCTGGAGGAGAAAACGAGGCTGGAAGCACAAAGTGGGGAGGGGGGGGGGGGAGGCTGGAGGAACTGGGAGGGTGAGATTCTGTGCCCTTCATTTGTCTCCCCGGATTTATCGTCTCTCTCGCGGTGCCTTCACTTAATTGTCTATCTTGAAAGACCTTGGATAAATCTTCCTTCCCTTTGGGGACTGTTGCTCTCGCTCGGAGTCTGCTTTGTCGGGCGGACGTTTCATCTTCTTTTATTTATAAATACGTCTCATTGCACAGAATTAACGTGGCAGGGCATGAAAGGAGCTCGGGGAGAGCTCAGTTTCCCCACTCTGCTCTGTTCAGAACATGCACTGAAAGCCGTGTCAAAACGCACTGAAGGCACCACGGGGCTCATCTGCGCCCTTCTCTGCTTAGAGCTGCAGCATCCGCCCCGATTTGGTGAGGAATTGCCCAAATGCTGTGAAATCTGTGCCTAGGGATCGTGTTTCCCAGTGGGTCCCGTTGCTGGGGTGGGTAAGATCTGCGATCCCAGTGCAGGATGCTGCCTGTGCAGAGCATTGCATGGGGTTGGGCCTGTAAACACGTTGTTCTGGGTGTGCTGGTTATGATGGGGAAAGAATATTCCACGCATCTGGAGCGCTCCCCAAAGCCCTGAAGCCCCAAAGCTCTGACACAGGTCAGCCCATGGACTCTGTCACCAACTCGAAAAGGCCTCAGGTTCGTGCTGAGCCCCAAAGCAAGCAGCTCTATATCCAAACCCACAGCTGTGGGAGCTGCAGAGGGGCAGTGCTGATGCAACAGCCCATGGCACAGCCGTTTGCTCTCACACACTGCGTCTGCCAGGCCGTAATTAAGCAGAAAGCGAAACCAAAAGGCTGGGGAGGGATGTGTGCAGCGAGGAGCCGCGCTGGAGGGCTGCGTTTTGGGATGTGTCCTCTCTCCAAAAGGGTTCTGTTGCTCCTTGCTCCTGCAGGCAGTGTGGGGTGGGCTCAGGGGATGAATTGCTCCTCCAAGGGCTGCAGTTCTCTCCGATGAGCACAGAGCCCGCGTGGCATTGCCGTGGCATTTTTAGGACGCTGCCACCAGGGCTTTGGGGAGCAGCTGCTGCCCCACATGAGAGATGTCACAGCACAAACCCTCAGCTCAGCGACAGCTTTACCCCTCAGCCACGTTGGGTGTCATGAAGAGGAAGAACCCACAGTGAGCCCCACACGAGCCGGGTTTGTCAGCTGAGGTGTGACAGCGTCCTTCCTCGGAGCCATGGGAGAGAACAGGCACAGGTCTCCATTCATTTCACTGCTGGAAAAACTTCCCCCCAGCAAAAAAAAATAAAACACCTTCCACCTTTCTATTAAAGTCGGAAGGAGCCAACAGCCGCCTCTCCATCGCCAGGCAGGGGTCGTTAAAGTGAAAGCAGCGCTCCAATCACAGCCAGCCCTGCCCACACCGCAGTGCTGCTGTGTCCCAGTCCCGCTCGCTGCCTCTCAGCTGCGTTCACTTAGCTCGGAGGAATCCCTTTGAACGGAGCCCGTATTTCATCCCCAAAGTGACCGCAGCACACCTGGGAGCTGAGGGAGGTGCGCTTTTCTATGCGCTGCGATGCATTCATGCATTGGTGGGAGGGCAGCCCCGTGGTTCCCAGTGCTCCGTGCTGGAATGAAGCCCCTGGAAAGATGGAGGGGGGCACAGCCTTGGAGGATCCCATCATCTGAGCCCTGCCAAAGTCCCAACCTATTTCCTAATGGTACCCCCACAGCTCAGAGCAATGGGACTGCTCTCTTCTCATGCTTTGGCGTTATTGTTCCCTCTGTGTCCCCTCTGCCAGCCTCAAATGCAGCCCTGAGCCCAACACCACGCTGCAGCCCTTCCTCTGCCATCCCTGCACCCATCCCACTGCCACCCCTGCTCCCAGCCCTGCAATATCAGCTCAGCCGGTGCCAGGACGCATTGCGCTGCAAGGGCAGGATATGGTGCAGGTGTGATCTATTCCTCTCCAAGCTCTGCAGAGCCAAAGGGCTCAGCCACTGTGCAAGGAGAAAAACCAGGAGCAAAGTGGGGAGGAAGGAGCTCTGCCCACCCCAGGACCTCACAGCAGCGCCACGTCTCTGCAGACCCCCCTGCCTATGGGGGTCCTCTCCGGTGTCACCCCTTTTGGGCACTGGGTTGGAGAAGGGATGGATCATCATGGGGCAGTGCTGCCTTTCCCATGGGGATGCTTGGCTGCTTTTCTCCTCATTGCACTCCCACAGAGGTGTGTTGGGGTTAAAGCTGCAGCCCTCACCCATTCGCTCCCAGTCTCAGGATCAGCTGCGGGCGCATTTCCCACGCAAGGTCCGGGCAAAGCTGGCAATACAAAACACCCACATAGGAGCTGGCAACCAAAGCCTCATCCCCACTGCCACGGGGTTTGAACAACCCTACAGTGACCTCGGGCTGACCCCATATCTCCCCACAGGACCCCGGGAGCCGACGACCTCCCCCCATCAGCAGCTCCTTGGCAGCCCCTTCCCAACCCAGCGTGTGGGGCTGAGACCCAACCCAGGAACTGGGCAGGTTTGCTTGGAACCAACGCATCCAGATGGTGCACATCAACTCTCCAAGGAGCAAATTGTCCTGGGATGGAGCAGAGTGCTGTATGGTTCTGCTCTGTGAGCAGCAGCCCCTGCAGTGGGTAGAATACTTTGGGACTGAGCAATGGACTGCCGCCGGGTTCCGTCCCATGCAGCAAACAGCCAGCCCTGCAGAGCAATTCCCCAAAGCAGGACAGTTTTCTGGGGTTTGGGCTTTTTGTTTCCTAAGGAAATGCTGCAGCCGTGGGCACTGCTGTGCGTCCTCCCCATTCCCAATTGCATGCTTGGGTGCTCAGCTGCTTTGGGCATCTGAAGCAGCAAAGCTGAGCGGGGTGCAACCCTAATGAATGGGAGAGGTGTGTTCTGAGCAGCAGCAAGACTTCCCATCAGTGATCCAGCACACCAAAGGACCCAATGGAAGTGACAGTGAGCTCACGTCACCTTTACTTTCCAATAGAACCCTCTATTTCTACGTACAACGTGGGCTCCCCAACCCGGGGAGGTGTGACTGCAGCCAATGGAAAGATGGGAGTGACCTTCAAAAACAGCAAATCCTGTTCAAATTATCGACGGTGCCGCCTGGAGAACGAAGCTGCCTTTGGCAATAGACATTTTCTTTACAAAATAAAATAAAACATGCTTTAAAAATCAAAGGGAGCCTCTTTGTTAAGGAGAGAGCGGAGCTTTCAACCTTCATTCAGAGAAAAAAAAAGGGTTGGGGGGGTGAAGCATCCTTTAAAAATGATTAAAACTAATGTTGTCATTCGTAACATTTCCATGGAGATGGTGCAGAGATGTCCATCGTGGGATCCTCAGCCCCCATTTCCAGCTGTTAGCAAACAGCAGTTCGGGGCTTTGGTCCCTGGGCTGATGCTCTCCAGCAGCAAACCCAATGGATTTTGGTGTCAGTTTGGGGTCCCCCTGCCAAGGCTGAAGGGTTGGGGTCCAGGCCGTACTGGGGGCCCAAAGGAAGAGGGAAGGAAGCTGTTTGTTGGGGCACCTCCTCCAACAGCTGCACCCACAGATAGAGCCTGGGCTATAGGGCACCATGGCACCGAGTTTGGGTTGGGGGTAAAGCCCAGGCAGCGTCCCCTCTGCCTGCTGTGAGCTGTACCCATAATGGTGGCCCTCGGTGGCTTCAATGTGGCACGAACCCACCTGGGATTCATGGGGAGAAAGGGGGCTGAGGACGGGGATGGAGGCAATGGGGCTGCAAGGCTCTGTGCAGGGAGGAGATGGGGTGCAGTGAGGGGTTGTAGGGTCAGCCTGGCGTGTGACCTTGGGTTGGGGACACACTCATGCATCCCAACACTGGACAAGCAGCAGCTCCTGCCCCTCGCCCCCAGGGATGGAGGAACAGCATCCAACCCCAACGGACTCCAGAGAAAACAAGGAGGGCTTTGGGGTGCTCTGCAACCCACTGCGTTGTGTTGTCCCCCTCCTGTCCCCATGTCACAGAGGACACCCACAGTGCATAAGAGCGCAGTGACACAGTGACTTCTCCCCTCATCACCCACCCCATCTCACACCCTCTCCCAAAGCTCCGGGCAGTTTGAAACAATTAAATGTTTATTCTTCCAAGATCTTTTTTTTTTTTTTTTTTTTTCTTTTTTTCTTTCTTTTTTTTTTTTTCTTTTTTTTTTTTTTTTTTAATACAAAATTTCCTCCCTGTGCCTGCAGATGGAGCCTGGCTGCCACCTGAGCTCAGCACCCCATCCATCCCCTTCTCCCCAGTCCTAACTGTCCACAAACCCTGCTGTGACACCCAGAGCCCAATGGGGAACACAGGGAAGGATGAGGCTCCTGGGGTGGGGATGCTCTGTTGCATTATGAGAGGGGAAGAAGGCAAATCCAGATGGATGCAGCACTTGGGGAGGCCTGACTCCACACCTCTGCCATGCCAGTACAACCCAGATGGGGAACTCTGGGGGTCCCTGGGGAGCTGAGCTCCAAGCAGAGGGGGGCCAGGACTGGATCTGATCTCAGCTGGAGAAGCGGGTGCAGTCACTGGAAGGTGGGCACCAGGTGCCACTTCCTCCAAGGGGACACTGGAAGACAGCCAGGGGGACGGCAGGGACACAGATCCTCAGGCCAGCGGGTTGCTGGAAAGGGCTCAAGGCACCTTGGTAATGTCCACACACACACATCCACACACACACAGGTGTTTGTTCCCAAAATTCCCAAGGAAAGAAGAGTACATAAGGTTCACATTAGCACATCTCATATGTATATAGTGCAAATCAGAGCCCCAGCACCAGAGGGTTTGCTCTCTGGTTAGTGGTTAAGATGTCCCACGGGTGCAATCCTGGGCACTGCAGGCACTCCAGCCTTTGCTCTTCCCCAGCTGCAAAGCAATGGGTGCATCATCCAATGCTTTCCAAACCCTTCCTGTGCAGAACGAGGTCACAGCCCATAGCACTGGCACTCTTGCTCCCACCTTGTACCCTACCGGAGAGGAAGAGGAGCACTGGGGAGGCCTTTGAGAGCCTGTCCCTCTCAAGCAAGACAGAGGGCTGCTGCTCCAAGGCACAGCTGACTGCAGATGAGCTCTGGGTGCAGTTCTGATGGTGTGGCCACAACATCCATCCCAACACCCACCCGTTCCCCAAACATGAGGAAGATCTCAGGAGAAGGGCAGGTCTGCACCAGAGGGCCGGCGGCCTCTTGCACATCCCCAAGAAAGATTTCAGGTTCTGAAGGTTGGGGATTGATTGCAGGCACAGTGTAGGATGGCAGCACCGTGCTGTGCAGAGGGAGGTTGATGTTTTCCATCTGTCCCGAGCAGGAGGCCATCTCCAGGGTGGCTGCAGGAGCATCCTTTCTTGGATGCGTGGCAGCCAAAGGTCCAGCCCCCTTCAGGACTGTGACTCAGGGAGTGAGTGGCAAATGGGAAGCCAGGAGTGAAGAGCGAGCACTGGGCTCAGGAAGAGTCCAACCACGTCCTGGAAGCAGGGGAGCAGAGAACATCACCGCTCATCACTGGTTCATGGGCTCCTCCTCCTCCATAGGCTCATCTTGTGGCCTGGAGAAATACAGCAACGTGAGATGAGACCTGCTCTTCCCAACACAACACATTCTTTTCAGCACCGAGAAATCACCTGGCACATCCAGCTTCTAGTCCTGCTGCCCAGGATGACAGGGTTACAGGACCAGAGCTCCCAGTGGAGAGAATGGGCTCAATATCCACCTCCCACTCCCTGAGACCAGTTTGCCTCCAGCATCATCCAGAGCTTCCAGCAGCTCACCGGGCTGTGGGACACCAACCCCTGCTGCCACCCCTGTGGCACCAAGCATCCCTGAAGCCCAGAGCTTGGCACACTGTGGGCCACCTGCACGTTCCAGGACTGATGAAGGGCATTACCTCTTCTCCACCATCACAGCCACCGAGAGGGAGGCCAAGGCTGTGACCGTCTCCACCTCTTCTGCCTCGTGGTGCTGAGCCTCCAGGAAGGAGCAGCCCAGCTTGGAGGCGAAGCGCTGCACAGCCACCCAGTATTTACCTGCAGGGGAAGCAAAGGTCAGGACAGATGTTGGGACAGGGGTGGCCTAGGTGGCTTTCCATGTGAATGCATGCAAGGGGCATCATCCCCCCCTCCAGGGAGGAGGAGGAGGAGGATGGAGGAGGGTTCCACCAAAGTGCTTCAAGCAGTATTCCCTGCGTGGCTTTCCCTGGACAGAGGAGGAAATGGCAAAGCTTGGGCCATCCATGCTAAATCATCCTCCCAGCTGTGGGACACTCACTCTGGACCTGGATCACCGCTTCCAAGGAGCGCACGGCGTTGGCATTGGGCTTCTGCCGCATGCTTTCTTCTGGGAGAGGGTCCAGCTGCCAAGGGGAGAGAAGGGGGGGGGGTCAAAGGAAAAGAGCTGCAGCCAGGGCTGGGCTCACAGCCACAACCCCTCCTTCCTGCTCCCATCGCTCCCAATGCACCCAACAGGTCCCAACAACCAGGCTGGGAGCGCAGATTCTCCAAAGCTCCACTACAGGGGGGACACAGCCCCCTCCTGGGGGGTCCTGGCTCTCACCTCATTGCCCAGCAAGGCTGACACGCAGGCTTCGGATGCATCGCAGATGGCTGTGAGGTCGTGGCCTCCTTCCAGTGCCAGGACGATGGCTCCCCCAGCCAGGCTCATCAGCTGTTTGGTCATGTAGCCAAAACCTGCCCAGGAAATCCAAGGAGCAGCCATCAGCCTCCCTGCCCAACGCAGTGGGGAAAGAGCCCCCTCTGCTGTGCCAGAAAACCTCAGAGCTGTCCCTGTGCTCTGTGAGGAGCTGCCAGCCCCAGAGCCCAGTTGGGCAATGGGAAGAGCTCACGGTGCTGCTTGCACCTCCTTACATTTAGCAGAGACTTTGTAGCCGCCCAGGGGTGGTGGGTGGCCATCAGCTGCATCGAAGCCAGCTGATACCAGCACCACATCAGGGGAGAATTCGTGTGCGATTGGCATCACCACTGTCCTGTCAGGGTGAAAAAGAACAAGTAGTAAGAGGTGTTGAGGGGTGGCTTGGCCTGAAGATGGGGAAAATGCAGAGGAATGCAGAAAGCAGTACCTGAAAGCCGCCAGATACTCAGGGTCACCCATGGGGGGGTCAAGGCCTCCAGTCCAGGCTATGTTGACATTAAATCCCTCACCAGGGCCAGCACCAACCTGGGGGAGAGCAAGGATGATGGTGAAGGGCTGGATGTGGCCTGCAGGGATTCATTCTCCACCCATGCATGGGTCAGATCCCCTCTCCATCCTCATAACCATCAGCAAAGGGCAGGCAGTCCCATGCTTCACCATGTCCTACACTCTGGGAATAGGAGACCCCAACCCTGCATTAAGGCAAAGCAATGGAAACCAGCTTCCGTGGAGACCTCTGCCTGGTGCTGGAGGGGCTGGATACTTCCTTGGGGTCTCCCACTTGCAGGACAGCCCCAGCACTGAACCAAGGGGCTGCCCCAGAGCAGAGCTGCATGGATCTTGGGGTCTGTCTGTGCTTTTTACCTCATCAGCAGCCCCGCTGCCAGGGAAGAAGTTTCCATCGTCGTGACGATGCAAAGAGATGTAGAGAACATCGGGGTCCCTGTAGAAGATCTGCTGGGTCCCATTGCCGTGGTGAACATCCTACGAGGGTAAAAATGGTGTGAGGGCTCCTTTTTGCAGACTTGAAGCTGTCCTGCAGCCCATCTGCTAAAAGCATCTCGGTCTCTGCCCTGTTTCACGCTCCCCTGTCTCAGATCTGGTCCCATTCCCCCATCCTGACATGTCAGGGAGATCCCAGCCACGTTCCTACAGCCAGTAGAGGATTCTCTACTCTCAGATCTAGCCCCAAATCAGAGCTGGGATGTCCTGGGGAGGCACAAGAACCTGCTGGGGGACAGGAGCGACTTACCCAATCCACTATGAGGATCTTGTTGAGTTTCCCTTTCTGCTGCAGCTGCCTGGCGGCAATGGCCACCGAGTTGAAGAAGCAGAACCCCCTGCAAAGAGGGAGGTGGAACTGATCAGCACCATGACCCCCTGAGCACCCTTCCCACACCAAAGGATGGGCTCTGCCTCCCTTCCCCCCTTGGTCTGGGTACAGAAGGGTCCTGGGGCTGTTAATAGGGCACAATTAGTGTCATCACCCCTTGGAGGACCCTGTGTCGACCTGGATTTTGGGGCTTCCCCTACACCACCCCTTTGGGAAGGGGTTCTTACATGGCAGTGGATGGATCTGCGTGATGTCCGGGCGGCCGCACCACAGCAAAACCATTCTGGGGACAAAAAAATCCATGAGGATATCCATCACTGCTGCCTCCAAAATCACACCCCAGCAAGCCACTCCTGTTGCAGGGACACTCAGTGCCAGACCGGTGGGACCTTCAGTCCCCTCAGGCCAATCTCCCTACCTTCAGCTCCCTGCTGGCCACTTTGAAGGCCAACTCGGTGACGCTGCCTGCGGCCCAGCGGGCTGCATTGGAGGAATGCAGCTCATTCCAGATGGTATCACTGTCCACCTGCAAGCAAGGGAACAGTCAGACAGGGATGGGGACAGGGGACCTGAGCTGGGGAAGCCACACTCTCTGCCAGTCACCCTGCTCAGAGGATGAAGTCTGGGCCACCCTGCACACATGGGGCAAGCTCCTCAGCTCCACGGTGGCCACTTGGGGACTGCAGTCAGGGTAACAGCTCCTCGCCCTGTTCCCCAGGAAAAGCTCTGCACGTGGAGCAACTCACCCTGCACCCAGGGGCTAGAAGGAGTGACTGAGAAAACGCTCGTTACCT